GGACAAAAAAATCCTTACCCTCGTGGAGCTTACTTTCTCATCGGGGAGAAAATAAATAAGATAAATAAGTAAAATACATAGCATGTTCGATAGGGATGAGTGCTAAGGAGGAAGATGAAGGAGGGAAGGAGAGAAGAAGCTTCGGAGAGAAGGGTGGAGACTTTTGACTAGGATGGCCAAGAAAGGCCTCACCGAAAAGGGACCATTTGAGGGACATCCTGAAGGAAGTGAGGGGATCTGAGGGAGAGCATTCCTAGCACAGGGATGGCAAGTGCAAAGGTCCTGAAGTGAGACTACGCCTGGCACATTTGAGGACCAGTGAAGAGACCAGTGTGGTGGAGGCAGAGTAAACAAATGGGAATGCAAGAAGGAGATGGCCTCAAAGAGGTAACCACGGGTTAGATCGTAGCCCTAGTAGGTCGTAAAGGGAGGGGATTTTCTGTGAGTGAGATGGCAGACCATAGAAGCTTTGAGCAGAAGAGTGGAATTTTAACAGGCTCCTTCTGGCTGCTGAGTTGAAAGGAGCTGAAAGGGGGCAAGGAAAGAAGCAGGAAGCAGTTTAGCAGGCTACTGTTCTTCCCTTCTCTGCTAGTCAAAACCATCATCACCCCACACTTGGGTTGTGTCCATAGCTTTCCACCTGGGGCCCCTCCTTCCATTCTACTCCTTTCCCTTCCAAATCTACCCAATGGAGCGCTGCCAAATGTCTGCTCAAACCTCCCCACCGCCCATGAGGAACGAATTCAGTGAAAGCCAGAACTCAAGCTCTCCATGCACACTATGGCCCCACCTTGCCGTCCCAACCTTATCTCCCACTGCCACACATCTCCAACACACAACCATGACACACTTGTTCAACATTTTCAAATACATCTACACAGTCTGATCTTCTCGTCTTTGCCCTCTCTGATTAGAATACTCCTGCCACCCCAGCTCTACCTCTGGAAATTCTCCCAGTCTTCCAAGGTTCATCTCAGTCCCACCTCCTCCAGGAAACCCTCCCTGATCCCTCAACTAGATGTTTCCTCACCTGCCTTTGAACCTCACACCATTGTCTCTATCCTTCTTTACGGTCTTTATTATAGTTCCATTTGTACTTGTCCGGTCTCCCTCAGTGGACTATACGCTCTTTGAGAGCAAACCATGGCTCACTCGTCTTCATGTCTGCTGCATCACGGAGCACAGCAGCTTCTATACAGGGAGGTCATTGAATGAAATGATGATAACATAATCTTTTAGTGATCAAAATTCTGTAACTTTCAATGACCTCTTCAAATCAGTTCATCCCCTCGGAGTAACTATTTTATTTAGTTAGGATTATAAACATATTTCATTCTAACACAGATAAAAGTCTAGCAGAAAAAAATCTGCTATATTTTACACTAATTCATGATAATTAATTAAGCTTAAAAGATTAAAAATGGACACAAAAATAAAATTTTTCTATGATTAACTGCCACTAAACGTTTTCTATTCAGGAAGATACCCAGTTAAATTTGGAAGACTTAAAAATGCTGGACCTCAAACCTCAGGAAAATTGATCTGCTTAAATATTTTAAGTCTTTATTTTTATTGGTAAGATTTTGATGCAATCAATGCTCTTTGTGGAAAGGTGATGCAGACACACTAAAAATTTTACTTTCTCCTTTGTGGCATTTTAAAACAGTCTTATTCCTGCATAATTTATAATAAGAATCTAGAAACACTGAGTCAGATTTCCGCAATGTCTGTCATTGAAATGTTGAGGCAGAGAGTAGAAAGTATAGTACATTTTCTTCTAGTCTTCTCTGCAATAGAATTTCCCAAAGGGCACCAACCTGTGGGGCCCAAATCATTTTCTTTTTAAGGAAGTATAAGTTACTAACTTAGCTATCTTTCCACCTCCTCTCTGAAGAAGCTGATATTGGTACCCAAATTTCAAAAAAAAAAACACTAAAAGGAGCCCTAGAAACAAGGCAAGGGAAAAGAGGATCTGGGAATCAAACGCAGATTTAACTCAAAATGAAACCTTAGCAACCATTCTTTAATTCAAGACCTTAATAATGAATCTCAGCTTTGGAATGCAAATTACATCAACAGTGGAATGATTCCTAGGGATGTAATTTGTCCTTCTGAAAATCAGATTCAATATTAGACTACCATTTCCTATAAGTCATAGGTATTCCATACTCCAAAGGAAATCAACATGGGCAAGATAAATATGAATTAATTTTAAATATTCTAGTTGAACATTATTCTAACATCATCAACATCATTTGAATCATTTTTTAGCAAAATATTTTCACTTTATAATCCCATTAAAACAGGATTCCTTTCTAACAGGAGAAAGTGTCTTTTGAACTTCCAGTCTAGATACAGAGAAACCAGAACAAGTAGAAGTAATAAAATGAACCAGCTCTGTGTCCTAATCAGGAGGTTTAGCCACCAAAGTGAGGTCAGTCGTCGCAATCAAGGCATAGGGTGAAAAAGTTGAGAATTTATCAGAAATATTGCAAGAAAATCAGAAGGGAAACACATTTTATAAACCAACTACCCATCACTGTTAAAAGACTTCTTTTATTTTTTCCTTTAAAAGAAAATATCCTGAACCATCAAATTCAGCATAGAAAACATAGAGAAGATGAATTGCTATCAGTACAAGAAGATACCCAATTAAATAGTGTATAGATTCAATTTGGAAAAATAATTTTAAAATTCAGTGACGGCTTTTATCCCTTCTGACCCTGCATGCTTAAGTGCACATCCCCTCAGAAGCAGGTCCTGAGACAAGGACTCAAGTCCAAGTAGTTTATTGGGAGGTTCAGGAAATGCTGGATGGGGAATGTGGACACCATGCGAGAGAGGAGAGGACAGCCTCAGGTGTGTCTCCCCCATGAGGTGAGGGGGCTGGGGTGTTTATCAGTCATTGGTTAAGACCGCTTTGTGAGGGCTGGAGGCCAGGGTGGTAATTCCTTGGTGCCTGAAGCAGAAGCCAAGCAATTTCCCACTCTACAAAGGAAATCTTCAGGCAAGTGATGCAGGGACTGGCAGTTGGCGGGCCTCCACCATGAAGACGGTAAGGTCCCAGAGTATGGATGGGGCAGTGACAGCACTGTCTCCCCTGCATCCTCCGAAAGAACTGCGTTCCCATCAACAGTGGTATCCACTTTTGGTATTTGATATCAAATCTTCTCTCTCTCTTTTCTCCACTATCCAACAGAGCATATATTTCACATTCAAGCCCTCTACCCCTAAGCTAAAAAATACACAATTTTAGCTTACCTATGCCTTTATTTCTCCCCTTGAGTCTACTTTATACTCTCTATAAATTAAGACTCTAAGTCTATTTCTGTGTTGTAAATTTTTTAACATCAACCTTGCTCTCAGTTGAGTTGTAAAAAAAAAAAATCACCCCTTTGGTAGCAGCCGTAAAGGTCCACAATACATCCGTGAAAAATGCTGGGCTGGTCCACGTAGTAAGAGCTCAGGCCATGCTAGAGAATCTAGAGAATCCTTTAGGTTATTAGAGCAGAAGAAGTAGTTTTGGCAGTTCCAAAAGTACACATTGTCAAAAAATAATGGGGGGGCGGGCTAATCTAAAACTTAACTGAGAAGAAGCATTTCCAATGAAACGTCACTTCATTTACCTTGCATAAATATAGTCTTTACCAACAGTCCAATCTAACCACTGTTGTTCTTAGGCCTCAAAGACAGTTCTCTAATATATTAGTAACGTCCTTCTGGGACTGAAGGTTCCTCTTTGGCTTTACTGTGTATATAGTCATGATAATGGACCAAGGTAAATTTTTCCTAAAACAAGCTTGACTGATGTAGGCACTTGATAACTACTATACTTCATAATTTCAAAAAAAAAGTCAATTCAAGGAATTCAGGAAATAGGCAGAAACTAGTGGGAGTGTAACATTATACGTTTCTTGGGTTAAAGGGATTTATTGCCACTCAACAGATATATCGAATACAGAACAAAGATAGCCTGGTGAAGATTAATTTAAATAGGTTATGTTTGAGATTGCCTAATCTAGCTGTAATAAAGTCATTATTTTGAAGAGAAATAAAAATGAAAAAATTACCCATACACATCACTGGAACTTTCCAGATATTTTTACACTGGTTTGGAGGCCCATCCCCTGGCTGCCCTTCTCTGTGGCCACTTACAAGCATTTGACAGAGCCACTGTTGAATGAGGGTCCTTTCTGGTGTAGGTTTATATTTATGTAAGGATCGGGCACAGTACCAGACCCACTGTTTCCCTGAAACTAACTATCCATTATACAATGCAAGATGTGTTTTAAAAACCAGACATCTCTTATTATAGTAAATTATATATATA